GTGTATCCCTCCCAAGCCTGCTGCAGTAATCTGAGAGCGTGACTTAAGCCGACAGTATGCCTGGAATGCGCTCCGCCCCTTCTCTTGCTATGGCAACATTGGGAGTTGACACACTGGACAGTCTGGGTCTCATATATTGTGCTAAATCATTGATACGGCTTAATAATAAGAGGGTCAGCCTCTGTTGAGCCCACCCACCGACAAGGAGAAGTGAGAGGACAAATTAACCAGCACAGCAGTTTGCTTCCTCTAGGAGCTGTGAGTGCTCCATCATGGGGGGATTTTCAAGAAGAGATAAATGGACATCCATTTGTCTGGAATGGTATGAGGTCTCCTGTCTTGGGCAGGGGGCTGGACTAGAAGATCTCCAAAGTCTCTTTCAGCCCTATGGTTCTGTGTTCTGTTTCTCTGGTGGCTACTGTTGTCTTCGGATACGAGAAGGATCTCACTCCCAAGGAAGATCCAGCCAAGACAAATCTTACTTGCAGTTGGCGTCATCAAAGTGCCTCCGGTTTAGCAAGAGTTATTTTAAAACTGCTGAGGATAATTGTATGCAGGGAATCCTTGACTTACTATTGTAATTGAGGCCAGAAATATTTAAGATTTTGGAGTCAAAAATTGAGGCATCATGTGAACAGATCCGGGGTTTTTGGGGACATTTTTAGCCACAGGCATTAAGTGAGCACCATAGTATTAAGTAACAGTAACAGTGTAACCCAGTTGGAAGGGACCTTGAAGGTCTTCTAGTCCAACCCCCTGCTCGAGCACAAAATCCTATACCATTCTGAACAAGTGGCTGTCCAGTTAAGTGAATGCCGCAGTCATTAAGAGAGACCATTTTCCCCCATGGTGGTTTTTGGAGGAAACCAAAAGTTAAATGCCAAAACCCAGTAAGAAATGTGGCAAATTGTGACTGTGATTCTGCAGACAGCTGATAAGGTCAGCTGGTTGCCAAGTGCCCAAAATGCAGTGATAGGATTGTGGAGTTGTAGGTCTCATTGCCAGTGGCCTTTGGAAGGGAGCAGGTCTATTGTAACTTTGAATGGTCATTAAGCAGCCAGTTGTAAATTGAGGATTACCTGTAGGGTAAAGAATATCTTGAGAGATGCGGTGGCTTAGTGGCTAAAACACTGTGCTTGTCAATCACAAAGGTCGGCAGTTCGAATCCCTAGCACCGCGTAAGAGTGCTCCTGTTACTTGTCCCAGCTTCTGCCAACCTAGCTGTTCAAAAACACGTCAAACTTGCAAGTAGAAAAATAGGAACCACCTTTGGTGGGAAAGTAACAGCATTCCGTGTGCCTTCAGCATTTAGTCATGCCGGCCACATGACCACGGAGACGTTTTTGGACAGTGCTGGCTCTTTGGCTTTGAAACGGAGATGAGCACCGCCCCCTAGAGTTGGGAACGAGTAGCATCTATGTGCGAGGGGAACTTTTACCTTGCTGCGGTATTGGATAGCAGAGAATCTGTGTGCATGGATGTGCCCAGAAGAACATTGAAGGTCTGTTTTTCTTTCCTGTCCCAACACAGGAGGGGGCCTTCGCTCTGGTCTTCAAAAGTGTTCATTATCCTGGCCAGGCGGTGGGCACAAGGTGAGTGCCAGTCAGTCTGTCATTTGTTCCTCCAGCTTGACGGTTGGCACAGAGTTGGTAAGATTCAACCATTGCAAGTTGGGTTTTCAATTCAATTGTGTAGAATGTGAAGGATGTGTTTATGATTTACTTTTATAGTTCTAATGTACACTGAAGATGTCATTTAATTTGGTTGTACAAGGTACAATGACAATAAAGTAAACTGAGTAGTTGCTCAGGAGTAAAGTATGAGTAAGTCTCCCCAATGGCAGCTGCCTAGGAAGAGTCTTAGCTGCTCATCTCAACCTCTTGTTTTGCTTTCCAGAAGGGGAAGTCCTCTGCTCATCGGCGTTCGGAGTGAACACAAGCTTTCCACCGATCACATCCCAATTTTGTACCGGACAGGTAAATCTCCCCAAGTGGATGCTCTGATTTCCATGTTGCTATTCCTCTGCAGCAGCCCTGCGTGAAATAACTTCGCAACCAGCATAGTGGGAGATTGCAGGATGGTAGACATCAGGGCAAAAATGATGTCCCTTTTAAACCCTGGAAGCCATGATGGGTTGACAGCCTTCCCCCTGAGTCCGCTTGAGAGGTCATCCTGAAAGAAACTGGACAGGTAGAGTTCCAAGAATAATCCCCCCGAGGCTCCTGATGCCCTCCTTCCTTCTCAACTGCAGCTGGAAGTGGATTTTAATTTTTTCACTGGCACCAAAAACTGGAAAAACAAGTTGGGCATACTTCAAGTAGGTACACTGGTGCCCATATGTCATATCCTTCAGGTCAAGTGTTTTAGGTAGGAGGATTGGATTTGCAAAAGGCCGGCTGGTGTTTCATCCCTTTTAGGAGATCATCAAAATGCAAGAATTGATCCTCAACTTCAGGGCTCTCCAACCTTGGCAACGTTAAGCCTGGAGGACTTCAACTCCCATAATTCCTGAGCTGGCCAAGTCCACAGGTCATAAAAGGGTGGGAAAGTGTGGCCCCTTTGGGACAGGGGCCTCCAACTTTGTCCACTTTAAGCCTGGAGGACTTCAACTCCCAGAATCCCCCAGCCAGCTTTGCTCCCAAGAATTCTGGGAGTTGAAGTCCATCCACAGGTCCTAAAGCAGAGGTTTCCAACCTTGGCCCCTTTAAGCCTGGAGGACTTCAACTCCCATAATTCCTGAACTGGCCAAGTCCACAGGTCATAAAAGGGTGGGAAAGTGTGACCCCTTTAGCAAAGCTGGCTGTGGGATTCTGGGAGTTGAAGTCCTCCAGGCTTAAAGTTGATAAGGTTGGAGACCCCTGAAGTTGAGGATGAATTCCTGTATTTTGATGAGCTCCAAAAAGTGATAGAACACCACTTCTGCAATCAAATCCTCCTCCAAAAATGTTTGACCTGAAGGATATGACCAATGCACATCAGTGTACCTACTTGAAATGTGCCCAACTTTGCTGGCTGGGGAATTCTGGGAGTTGAAGTCCGCCAGGTGTAAAGTTGCCATGGTTGGAGTCCCCCTCCTCTATTTTGCTGGCTTAAAGCTAAGAAGAACCTATTTCCTCCTGGAGCCCATGGTTTATCGATCCGTTTTGTGCCATCGAGTCGTTTTCAATTCTTAGCAGCCACATGGACCAATTTTCTCTTTCCCCATCTGCTTCCAACGGTGTTCTCCAGTGCCCGCCTTTCCCAATGTCTCGGGGCCTTCTTTAGAGAAGTTTTAAATAATGTAGGATAACTTGAGCCTGGTCATTTGTGCTTTGCGTACATGCACAACGTGTCGATGTGTTTGTGAAGTTGCTTTCCATGTTGCCCTTGCAGCCACACAATCTGTAGATCACTCATTTGATGGCCTGCCCAAAAAACCGGACGAAGGTGCTGTGGAGACCAAGCTTTTAACTTACCAGCCTCTTGCATCTCCCAAGAATAAATCAAAACACGTACAACCTTTTTAATTGGTGGTTTACTGCTTTCCATTTGAGAGGGAGGGGGAGGAACAGGCCCTGCCTTGCACCCCCCAGTTTCCACCTCCTGTGCTTTTGTTTCCGGAATGGAGACAGGCGTGTGGTTAACTCCCTTAGTGTCGCTTCTGAGGGCTAAGGAAGAGGGATGCCTTGTTTTCACCTTGTGTGCTTGTGGAAAGCAGGAGGAACTCTCTATTAAACAGGTTTCGTGTGTGGGGGAAAATTTGCATGCCATTCTTGTGATGGGTTTTCCCCCCCTACTTCTTCCCAAATTCATTTCTGGTCCTTCTTTGCCCCGATCTCATTTTCTTCCTGTCTCCTGAGGTTTGTTAACTGATACCCAAAGGTGAGGATGCTGGATCTTTTCCCCCTGGCGCTTGACTCCCTATTTTAAAAACAAAAAGCCAGGTATGGACCCAGAAGCTGGACCTCATACTGTCCTTCCGATTTGTATGAATGCACCTGATGTTCTTTCGAAATCCTTGGCTGGCTAATCATGATCAAAGTGGAAAGGTTTCAGCGGTTTTGGTGGACATTCCTGGAGGCAAATGGGCAAAGGTATCCTGTCTTTAAAGAACAACAGCAGCTTCCGTTTAAAAAAAAATCATGGGCTTCCTCAAATATCATATTTTTCGGAGTATAAGATGCACCTTTTCCCCCCTCTAAAAGACCGTGGAAATGATGGTGCGTCTTATACACTGCAGCTATTTTTGGCCTCCCGAAGCCTCGCTCCCCACATCGTTTTTCGCAAAAATGCCCCTCCCCCGGGCCATTTTTTGCAAAAACAGGTGGTTTTTGCCTCCCCCCCCCCCCAAATCACCCTTCAGGCTTCAGCAGGGCTGAGGGAAGGGAAAAATGCCCTTGTTTTGGCAAAAAATGGGGGAATTTTTGCCTTCCCGGATCCCTGCTGAAGCCTCTGGAGTGTTCCTGGGGGTCAGGGAGGACAATTTTTTTTTTCTAACTTACTTCTTTGAAATCTTGGTGCATCTTATACACCAGTGCGTCTTATAGTCCGAAAAACATGGTATTTAGATATTTTCTCTGATTTCAGGAGGCTGTATCAGTGTCAGGAAGGATATAACCCAAGACAACCCCTTGGGTTTTTCTCTTAAGCCCTGGCTGGAGAAGGGCAGGCCACCTACCTTCCCCTGGGGCCATTCTATGTCAGGTGGTCTGGACCTCCCTGCTCGATGAACAGATTTCGATGAAATTTGGTGTGAACATGCATACACGTTTCCGTTGAACCTTGATAAAGTGTTACGTTTGCTGATGCAATACTTGCGGAGATATAGTCATTTGACTCCATACCGCAGCCTTCGACAGTATGACTCTGAGACTTCAGCAACTTTGAGATATAATATCTCCGGCAATATTTTGTTGAGAGAAACAAAACATGGCCATCTTGTACAGCTTGTTGTGCTCTATTAAACAAAATAATAAAAACATTCTCATGAGCAATCTCCACCTAGATAAATTGGAGCAAAGTTGGCTGAAAAATGACTGCGGCTTGAAAAAAGGTTCAAGTTGGACTTTTTATATCTCTGGAAGGAAAGGTATGAGAAATATGAAGCTTTGAGCGTAATAACTTAGCAACACAAGGTTTTCGAATGTAAAATTTCATTCTCCTACTCCTTTCCTATAGTTCACAAATGGAGTGTAAAGTTGACGGTTTTTGTAAAAATGCCAAAAATGGTATTTTCAGCCCGCTTTTACAAAAAAAACAAAAAAAAAAACTTCTGGAAACTTTGTTAAATCATTCTCATTAGAAAGAGCATCTTTCAACCCCCCTAAAAAAGTAGGGTTGGTTTTTTCATCGCTGACGTATAAATCCCTAAAAATAGGGACAAAGTTGCATGGCGACATCACATGCATTCTATTATTGTTTCATCTTATTTTATATAGGCATCATTACTACTATTACTACTAGGGCCTGGAAGGTTGAGAATCTCTGTAGAGACTCTCTAGCAATTGGCATCCCTGAGCGATTCCCCCAGAGTCCCACCTGGGCCTTCCTGACTCTCCCTGAACGAAATTCCAGTTTGGGATCCCTGTAGGATCTGCTGTTGTTTTTTGCTGACGAGGATAACTGGGCCTTTGCTTTTTATTTTTTAAAGCCCCCTGTAAAAATCTCTTTTGATTCAGCTGGGCTGACAGCCTGACTTTGATTAAGATACTTAGACAGACCATGATGTCGCAATCAACCAAACAATCATTTTGACCTGATTATCCCCATGGGGGAGCGGGGGAGGGTTTTGGAAAAGTCTGAATGGTCTCTGTCACCGGGTGATCAAAACCCTGAGCCCATGGTGGGCTTCAGTGATGCCATTGCAGCCTCTGCATTGACTTTGCGGATGCCCCCTCACACTAGTTTGTCCCTCCTTGGCTCACTTCCTAACCCAGGGGTGATCAAATTTGGGGACTTTAAGACTTGTGAACTTCAACTCCCAGAATTCTGGTTCTGCTGGCTGGGAATTTTGGGAGTTGAAGTCCACAAGTCTTAAAGTTCCCAAGTTTGGACACCACTGTCCTGACGGAAGCAGGGCGGACATTATGGGAACCCCCCCCCCCCGTACACATTCTTCTGATGTGTTAAGGGAGGGGACTGCCCTTCCACCCCTCTTCCCTGTTGAAGGGGGGATTCCTGACTTGGAGGGCTGAGCAGAGGAAGCCTCCTGTTGGGTGAGAGGAACTCCACGGGTGTGTCTGTGCACAGTGCACTTTGGGGCTGCCCGCCCAATGTCTGATGACGCTCCGTCTGGTCTTGCAGGCAAAGACAAGAAGGGCACTTGCAGTCTATCTCGCATGGACAGCACCACCTGCCTCTTTCCCGTGGAAGAGAAAGCTGTGGAGTATTACTTCGCCTCCGATGCCAGGTGGGCAGCATGTGCGGAGGGCACCGGAGAGGCCACATCATCAGCCATTAAAAAGATATTTTAGCCTTTTCAAATGCAGGGAGCCCTTGACCTACGGCTGGGGGGAGTGGGGGCTGGCTACTGCTAAAGGTTCGCCCAAGTTCAGGAGAACCCGTAGCTAACATTATGACTGGTTCAGAGAACCTCCAAATCCCACCCCTAGTTGGTCCTGCCCACGCCACCCCTCCCACCACACCCCTCTTCTCCCAGGAGATTCACACGGCCCATTTTGGATGCGAGGTAAGTGCAGCGGAGGCTCAGGGAGGGGGAAGAACGGGCCTCCCGGGAGGCCTCCGGAGCCCGGGGGAGGCAGTTTTTCCCCTCCTAGAGGCTCTAGGAAAGCCTCCGGAGCCTGGAAAAGGCGAGAATGTCCCCCATGTTGTGGTGCAGGAGGTTGAATAGGCCACGCCCACCCAGCAACTGGACAGAGAACGTGTTGATGAAATGTTTGAAAACCACCCCTGCCTATGACTGTAACCAAGCCCAAAAGTTCTATTCCTAAACAAGACTGTGGTTAAGTGAATTTTGACCCCCTTTAAGACCTTCTTTGCCACAGTGGTTAAGTGAATCATTGCAGTTGTTAAGTTGGTAATGCCATTCCTTAGTGAATCTAGCTTCTCCATGGACTTTGTGTCAGATAACATTGCACTGAATTCCTTAGAGGAGGGAGGCGGCAGAAGAAGTGGAGAATGAAGCTGTTCTACAAGCTGGAAAGTCTCTTTCAGTAAAATAACAAAGTTTAGGGAATACTGAAGTCTTATCATGAATGGTTCTCCTTCATAAATCACCCTACTTTTCATTCATGGGAATGTTAAGTAAAACATTTGAGTAGCAATAGCTCTTAGACTTTGCAGCCCTCTCTAAACGGTTTACAGAGTCAGCCTCTTGCCCCCAACAATCTGAGTCCTCATTTTATTGACCTTGGAAGGATTGTAGGCTGAGTCATCCTTGAGCCTGGTGAGATTCGATCTGCCAAATTGATGTCAGCAAAAGTCACCTGCAGTACTGCACTCTAACCACTGCGCCACCATAGCTCAAGGGCATGGTTGATATAAGGAGTACAAATAATAGCATCAGTTCTCTAGATCTCATTTGGTTTTGGCACCATTTTTTTAGGGGAAAAAATCCTTCTCCCCTCCCCTCCTATGAGTGTCCCATTCTCAATTTGTTTCTGGGTTCCTTCGAGAGAGGTTCAGCCATCCTCCACCCTTCTCTTGCAGTGCTGTGATCGAACACACCAACAGGGTGATTTTCCTGGAGGATGACGACGTGGCAGCCGTAGTCGAGGGCCGCCTCTCCATCCATCGCATCAAGAGAAATGTTGGGGATCACCCTGGCCGGGCGGTTCAAACCCTCCAGATGGAGCTCCAACAGATCATGAAAGGTACAGAGGGTTGGGACTTTTCAAGCGTTTCGCTCCCCAGGCTGCTTCTGATGTGTTCACGGCTCCTTTATGTGTACATCTACCATCTTGTTCTTCTGTGGCCTGTTGGCTAGGAGGTCCTTAGAAGGCTCCTCCTGGTGCTCTCAGGTAGGACCCATTTGGCCTATTCAAGGTCTGTTTTTCATAACTGTTCAGTTGGAATCCAGATCCTTCCATGAGCTCCTCTGCATGGTCCAGGCAAGGCACCTCCTCTCCAAAAGGACTGAGCCAGTAGAGGACGGACACATTTCTCATTTAGAATAGATTGGACTGGTTTGGAATGGAATGGAATATGAAATAGAATAAGGGATAATGGAATGGAATGGAATATGGAATAGAATAAGGGATAATAGAATGGAATGGAATATGAAATAGAATAAGGGATAATGGAATGGAATATGGAATAGAATAAGGGATAATAGAATGGAATGGAATAAAATATGGAATAGAATAAGGGATAATGGAATGGAATAGAATAAGGAAGAATAGAATAGAATATTGGAATGAGAGAATAGAATAGAATAAAGGAATAAGAGAATAGAATGGAATAGAATAAGGAATAGAATAAGGGATAATGGAATGGAATGGAATAGAACAGAACAGAATATAGAATAGAATATAGAATAGAATAAGAGTAATGTAGAGTAGAATAGAATTAGAATAGAAGAGTTGGAAGGGACCTTGGAGGTCTTCTAGTCCAACCCACCGCTTAGGCAGGAAACCACACCACCCCAGACAAATGGTTATACAACATCTTCTTAAAGACTTCCAGTGTTGGAGCATTCACAACTTCTGGAGGCAAGTTGTTCCACTGATACATTGTTTTTGTTGTGAGGACATTTCTCCTTTGTTCTAGGTTGCTTCTCTCTTTGATTAGTTTCCACCCATTTGATTTATTGTTTTTCATTTATTGATTTGTTGACTTATTGTTGCCGTCTTCCCTCAGCAGTTGATAAACTGTTTTTCTTTCTAACCGTGCCAACAACACCGAAAAGATGAATTGGGGATCTTCTGACAGAAGTGGGATTGACCCATTGGATTTTAAATGAAACTTAGTTTAATTTAACCAATCTTCGTTTAATTAAATCATTCAATTTCAAAAGGACTCACAGTTGATTTAACCATGACTTGCTAAATAAGTCCCATTAACTGAAATGACACAACATAAGCCATAAACAATGGTTTCTAAATCCTGATGGTTCCTGGTATGATTTCTTTTAGATGTTGCTTTTGCACTTTGTGCATCAAGACACACTTTCAGTTCTTCCAGAACTTTTCATTTTACTTCCCTCTTTGTATACCAAGGTTATCCTTTCATTAATCTTATTTCTGCTGTTTGTCATTGTTGTAAACTCCCTTGGGAAAACATTGTAAGGCAGGCAGCATGCAGATTTTCAAATAAAAATAATGAAAGAGCCATTTTTACACATTTACTGAGGAGGGAAGTCCTAAGAACGCTGTTTAACTTCCAGATAAATATGTGTTGGATTGCAGGATCAAAAACATCGCCAAAAAGTTCTTCCTTCTTGCATGTCCAATGAAATTAATCAGTTTAAAAATTCGAGTTTCACTGTGTTAACCATGGATTTTGTTCCTAAAATTTAATAAAAGTTAAAGTACCCCAGTAATATCCCTTTATATCTAAAAAGCCTTCAAGAGTAGAGTGAATGTTAAGTTCCTAACTTCTTGTCAATGATATCTGTACCCAAGGGGATGGTTTTAGTGTAGTTCTACCAATAGGAAACTAGTGTCTTCTTTGCCAGCCTTGGTTCATAACAATGGAATATTATGGACTAATGCAGAGGTCACGTTTTGAAAAAAATTTTTTAGACTTCAGGTAATACCGGTCAAAAGTATCAAAATATTTTGTTGTCCAGATGTATTAGAAGCTGAAGTTCTTTCATGACCAATCCACATAGCCAAATTTCAGATTTATTCCGAAACTTAAACCACATTTTGAGTGACAGTAAATAGACTTAATTCCATTTTAAAATATTACCTGAATTATAAACCCAGGCGTGAATTTTAAAAAGAAAACAACAGGTGTGCCTTTGCGTTAAAGATCAAAGCCAAAACATATTATGCATTTTCTGTATATGATGGACACGGTAGGTTTACACTTTCAGAACAGTGAAATGTTTTTTTTTTATTGTGTTCTGGATGTAGAATTGGGCTGAGAGTGGCTTTTTTTTCCAAAATGAGAAGGACAGGTTGCCTCTATTCAGTGAAATTCCTGTTTGTTCTTCCAAGGTAACTTCAGTTCATTCATGCAAAAAGAAATCTTTGAGCAGCCAGAATCTGTCGTGAACACCATGAGAGGAAGAGTCAACTTCGATGACTACACAGGTAAAGGCTTCGGAATTGTCTTCGGCTCAGAAAAATCAGATTATTATTATTTTTACACAAAACTCTTATCTTCCCAAATGTGATTTGAATGCGATAGGTTTCATTCGCAGAGAAGATCTGTAGATGGTCTTCTAACATTGGAAAATGGCAATAACTGCTTCTCTGCTTGTGAGCAAATTATTTTCTTCCACTACAGTGAATCTTGACTAATAAGCTTGCTGTGGGCCAACTCGTCCCATAATCAATACCTCTGGCTGTTTTTCTCCCTGTTTATCCCTGGAGGTTGCTTTGAAAGCCTTGGAGCATATTTTGTTACTAACCAATGGCCTTTTTCAACAACACATCCCTGGTGATTGGCAAGACCCAACAGAGTCTTCATTTCCTTAGAGTTCTGCGGGAAAAATCAGGTGGAACAATGGCCGATGACCTCTTTCTATCGGTCCACCATAGAAAGTGTCGTCACATACTGCAGGATAGTAGGTAGGCTGGTTTAACTGCTGCAGACAGGAAGGCACTACAGAGAGGGATCAATTTGGAACAAGAAACCATTGGTTGCCGTCTAACATCACTGAGTGACATCGCCAGGTCTCGCTGCTTTAGCAGAATAAGGAAGATACTCAGAGATGCTTCACGTCCTGGTCAGTGTCTCTTTGCACTTCTACCATCGGGCAGAAGACATCGAAGGATAGCCAGCAAATAGGTTTAAAAATAGTTTCTATCCTTGGGTTATCAGACTCTAAAACACAACCTCAATCACTCCACGCACACATGGAAATGTATGACTAGTTTTTCTTTTTCTTTTTTCTCCTAATTNAGAGTGCTCCTGAGGGCTGGGGAGGGCAAAAACGAGCAAAAACAGACCATTTTTTTGCTAGTTTTTACCCCCGCGCAGCCCCCAGGAGCACTTTGCAGGCCTCCCAAACTCTCAGCGTGCCCCGTTTTTTTGTGAAAAAGTTTGTGCACAAACTTTTTTAAAAAAAATTACCTCTTCAAAATTTTGGTTCCTCTTATACTCCAAAAAATTCGGTATTTAAATAGCCCTGCGGCTTCTGAGTGATGCTTTACTTAGGAGCTACGGCGGCGCAGTTGTTAGATTGCAGTATTGCAGGTGACTTTTGCTGCCCGCTGACTGCCAGCATTTCAAGTCTCACCGGCTCAAGGTTGATTCAGCCTTCCGTCCTTCTGAGGCCAGTAAAACAACTCAGATGGTTGATGGCAACAGGCTGACTCTGTAAATTGCTTAGAGGGGGCTGTAAAGCAGGGGTCTCCAACCATGGCAACTTTAAGCCTAGTGGAGTTCAACTCCCACAATTCCCCAGCCAGCTTTGCTAAGGGGGCCATGACCTGTGGACTTGGCCAGCTCAGCAATTCTGGGAGTTGACATCCACCAGGCTTAAAGTTGCCAAGGTTGGAGAACCCTGTTCTAAGATGAAGCACTAAGTGCTGTTGCTGCTTTCATTGTATATTCTGTTTCTTCCTTTCCCCTCTATCCTCCTCCCTGCGTCACTCGCCCAGACTCGCCAAGTCCTCGAAGAACTGACCGAACTTCCCGTCATGGTGGAGCTGGCCAGTGACTTCTTGGATCGAAATACTCCTGTCTTCCGAGATGATGTCTGCTTCTTCATCAGCCAGTCAGGTGAGAAGGCCAAGGGAGGCCTTGGTGATCAGCTGACACAAGAATGCAAAGTTTTCCCAAAGTTTTAGCCACACTCCCTATCTTGTAGACTGTTTTTTTCTTCTCCTAAAGGTAGTGCTAATAGCAGCTTGAACCTCCATAAAGTCAGATATACCTGCATAGATCCAACTTATGGTGGCTAAAGCACTTCCTATTAGTACTTCACCCCAAAGGAGCATGGTATATTTTTTAATCAAGGTAGATGAACTGTATGAATAGAGTTGACCCTCCATAGCTTGGAGAGCTGCCAGGCCCATATCTGCAAAACTTGGCAAGGAGCCTCAGAGAGTCACAAACCAATTAAGCGGACTAATGGTCTCCTGCAAACTCCACTCCCCTGTCGCTCCTCTTTTATTTCCTCTGGGAGAGGCCATTCGTCATCCACCTGTGGCCTTATTCCCAAGTTGACCTATGTTCTTTAGCTGTTCCCTTCGTTTGGCCACTCTGCACATGCGCACACTGGGAACAGGCTCCAGCTGTTCCTCTGCCTCACTGATGTCTGACTCTGAAGGCAGCTGATAACTGACATATGCCTCTGGCCCCCTCTTTGCCTCCGACACAGAACCCTCCTCAGAGCCTTCCCCAGACTCCAGGACTGGCTCATGTTCCCCTCCAACCTCCTCACTGTCCGAGTCTGCTGCCAGCTCCACTAGCCACTGGCAGGCCACAATTTCTTCCCAAATATTGAAGGAAAAGAGACACGTCCAGGTTCATTCACAAGGTGAGACCCTGTCGCTTTGGAGAGCCAAGCTTAATTTATTTGTCTTTGAGGTGTGGCCCATGTTCGTAATGAAGGTGGAAATAAGGCCCCTGCATTGACAGACCTTCAGCGCTCGTTGGGAACACCTTCTTGGTTGACCAGATCCATTTCTCTCGGCAGGGGAGACGGCCGACACCCTGATGGCCCTTCGGTACTGCAAGGAGAGGGGAGCCCTCACCGTGGGCATCACCAACACCGTCGGGAGTTCCATTTCACGGGAGACGGACTGTGGGGTGCATATCAACGCAGGCCCAGAGATTGGGGTGGCCAGCACAAAGGTGAGGACCCTATGCATAAAGACAGCTCAGATAGGCAGGTTGGTGTGAAGGTGTGCCAGCCAGAGGTGGCATTCAGCAGCTTCTGACCAGTTCTGGAGAACTGGCAGCAGAAATTTTGAGTAGTTCGGAGAACCGGCAAAAACCACCTCTGGCTGGTCTTGCCCCCATCTATTCTCTGCCTCCCGAGTCCCAACTGATCTGGAGGGAATGGGGATTTTGCAGTATCCTTCCCCTGCCATGCCCACCAAGCCACGCCCACAAAACCGGTAGTAGAAAAATCTGAATCCCACTACTGGTGCCAGCTTAATAGTTCTTATTCTGAGTGCCCATGCTGACTGCACCTGGGCCCTTCTGCTTTTCTTAAGGACAGGAGTTGGGGGTCCCAGGAATTAATTAATCACCAGCTGCAATTCTGAAAAAGCCTCCGTTTTATGTATAATCAGAAAGGCAGGACAGGTAAGAACATGTAACTCGTGTTCTTACCTGTCCTGCCTTTCTGATTATACATAAAACGGAGGCTTTTTCAGAATTGCAGCTGGTGATTAATTAATTCCTGGGACCCCCAACTCCTGTCCTTAAGAAAAGCAGAAGGGCCCAGGTGCAGTCAGCATGGGCACTCAGAATA